TCTGTGTTTTACCTCCACCCTCCCAAGCAGGTTGTCCTTCTTCAAGGACTGATCCCGCCTTGCAACATGTCCAAGGTATGTCAGATGAAGCTTCAGAATCCTTGCCTACAAGGAGCAGCCCTGCTTCACCCTCTGCAGGACAAACTTGTTTGTTTTCCTAGCCGTCCATGGTATATTCAATACTCTTCTCCAACACCAGAGCTCAAAGGCATCGATTCTACTTCTATCATTCCTAGTCATTGTCCAGCTCTTTGATGCCTAGCAAATGATTGCAAAACCATGGCATGAATCAGGTGCACCTTAGTCTCCAGACTGACATCTTTGCACTTCACCATTTTAGAGAGGTCTCTAACCACAGACTTTCCCATCACAATACATCTTTTAATTTCCTGGATGCTGGTGCCAAGAGTGTTGACTGTGGATCCAAGCAAACCAAAACTGTAAACAATGTCAGTCTCATCACCGTCCATTATGATGCTGCCAATTGGCCCAGTGGTGAGAATCTTTGTTTTCTTGATATTGAGTCTCAATCCATACTGAAGACTGCAGTCCCTGACCTTCCATAGTAAGTGCTTCAGGTCCTCCTCAGTTTCAGTGAGCAAGATTGTGTCATCTGCATATCGTAGATTATTGATGAGTCTTCCTCCAATCCTGATGCCACATTTCTCTTCATAGAGCCCAATCTCCCGGATAACCTGTTCCGCATAAAGATTGAAAAGGTATGGAGAGAGGATACAGCCCTGGCGTATGCCCTTCCCAATTTTGAACCATGCAGTGTTTCCTTGCTCTGTTCTGATGACTGTCTCCTGGTCCAAGTATAGGTTTCACATTAGCACAATCAAGTGTTCTGGGATTCCCATTCTTTTCAGAGTCAGCCACAGTTTGTTATGATCCACAGAGCCAAATGCCTTTGCATAATCAGTGAAACAAAGATAGACATTCTTCTGGTACTCCTTACTTTTAGCCAAGATCCATCTAATAATGGCCAGATTTAGCAAATGGAAAACAAACATGAACATCCCAACACTGTATGATCCTATGTTTATATGAAATATAAATGTAACTAAATAGTCTGTATTCCTTATCTGGCAACTCTACCTTATAAAATTGTTGGCAGATGATGGGATTTACCAATATAAAATTCTCAGAAGAGTACATAGTCAATTAGAAGTTAATACCATTACGATGATCACTTTAATCAGAGGTACTTTGCTTGTATATTTTTTTCTCTGATAATTTTTAAGATTGTCATGAATAGTTTAATGGTTAAGGGTAATTTAACCATTTACAGGGCTTTCCTCCCCTCCATAATCAATCAAAAGAACACAATATCTTCTAGTTTAAATCTCTAGATAGAAGTTTCTTTTCAAGGGCTATAAAAGATGTATTAAGGGGTAAAGAGTTAATTCAAAGGCCCACAGTTCGAACCCACCAGCTGCTGGGTGGGAGAAAGCTGAAGTCTCCTCTCACATGATTTAAAGTCTCTGAAAATCCACTGGTGGGTCAGCTGTGAGTCGGTCCTGACTTTACAGTCCGTGGCAACAACCACCTCTACAGTTAATGGAAGGAAGCAACAGCCAGAAAAATAGTTAATATTAGCCTTACACATGTTCTTATTTAATGTTTTATTCCAAGGAATTTACTTTTGGCCTTGGTGGAAAGCAAAGAATACCAGAAATATTAAGTTTTCTTGACTATGCAAAGATATTTGAACATCCGTATCATAAAACATTATGGCTAGCTTCGAGAAGAGAGGGAATCCCACACTTACCTGTGCTCAGGTGGACCCAGGAGATAGGCCAGCAGTAGTCACTGGAACAGAACAAGGCTATCTGGCATCGTTCAGAACCAGAAATGGTGCGCCTCAGCTTGTGTTCAGTTTACTATTCACGGTGTGTACTGAGCAAATAACCCGAGAAGGTGAACTATGTGAAGAGGAACGTGGCATCCAGACTGGAGGAAGACTCATCAACAACCTGCATGGTGCAGATTACACAACTTTGCTGAAAGTGAAGAGGACTTGAAAAAAAAAAATAATTTACTGTAAAAGATCAAAGACCATAGCTTTACGTATGGATTGCACTTCAATATAACGAAATTAAAATCCTCAACACTGAGCCAATAGGCAACATCAAGACAAATGGAGAAAAAATTAAAATTGTAAAGGATTTCTTTTTACTTAAGATCCATAATCAGCAGGCCTGGAAGCAGCAGCTGAGAAATCAAAAGATGTAAAGCACTGGGTAACAGCTGTCAAGGACTTCTTTAAAGTGCTGAAGAGCCAATCCCGAAGGTGCGTGGTTCAAATCCACCAGATGCTCTGCTGCAGAAGGAACTTTGTCGCTCCTCCTGTGCCAGTTGGATCCAATTTGACAGTAAATCAAATTAAAAAGAAATAAATACATAAAAAATAAAGTCCTAAAGAACAAGGATGTCAGCTTAAAGACTAACACGCACACAAGCCAAACTGCAAAAGTTTCCATTATTTCATGTGCATGTGGAAAGAGTTAAACCGGGTGGCTCCTTGGAGGCAAGGATTCTGAGGCTCCGTCTAACATACTTTGGACATGTTGTGAGGAGA